TAATATTAAAGGGATAGTTCACCCCAAAATGAAAATTCTGTCATTATTTACTCAGCCTCATGTCGTTCCAAACCCGTAAGACCTCCATTCATCTTCGGAACACAAATTAAGGTATTTTTGATGAAATATAAGATATTTCTGACTGTTTCTGACTGTTATATGGCAACGAAACGTAGTAAGGACATCGATAAAATAGTCCATGTGACATCAGTGGTTCAACTGAAATGTTACGAAGCTACAAGAATACTTTTTGTGCGCAAAGAAAACAAAAATAACGACTTTATTCAATAATTTCTTCTCTTCCGTGTTGCGTTCACAAGAGTACCACGATGCATGCGTGTGCATTCCTCTGCTTGCAAACAAGGCGCAGTGCATCTGGGTTCTACATCAGAACACCGGCTCCTGCAGCATCATCACACGCATGCGTCGTGGTACTCTCGTGACACGGAAGTGAAGAAATTGTTGAATAAAGTCTTTGTGCACAAAAAGTATTCTCGTACCTTCATAAAATTACAGTTGAACCACTGATGTCACAGTCACATGGTCTATTTTATCGATGTCCTTACTACCTTTCTGGGCCATAAAACGTTTTTAGTTTTGTTGCTGTCTATGCCGGGTCAGAAAGCGCTCAGATTTCATGAGTAATTAATGACAACATATAAATACAACATATAATGCAACATATAAATGTGGATGTTTTTCATTTTTGAATGAACTATTACTTTAAGAAATCTTTAGATTATATTCTGTTTATTCTGAATATTCTGTTTGATTCTTGTTCTATTTGTGTTCTAGGGGAATTTTGTGCACTCTTGCTTTTCTGTCGGCCTCAGGGCTATGCATGATTAAACTTAAATCGGGTCAGTGTCCATCCGCAGAGTTGTCAAAGCCTTTCAGCATCTGTGGTGCTTCCCATATAAGGTGTATATCTGCTTTCGCTCTCTCTCTCTGTGAGTGTGTATGATTTTGAATTCCTCGTTGATTTTTCTCATCTCGGCTTTTGAGTCTCGTGAAAGTGAACTGCTTTCCTCACCACCTGCCAGGGTGTTAATGTCCTGCAGTGTAGAAAGACCTCTGCATGTCACACAAACAGACACATGCAGAGGGACCAAAGAAATTAACACCAATAGCAAAACGGATGGGTGTTTGTTTGTCTGACATTTAGAGGAAGCGGGAAATAAAGGAAGAACAGAGCCCTTCAAAGAAACACTGCCACCAGCGACATGAGCAGTTGGCACAATCTACATCACGTGTCCTCAGAGACAAGCATGAAGATGATAATGTGAGTCCATTGCATGTGTCTGACCCAGTTCAGCACCACGGACAGCAATAGATCAGTCATTCAAATCCAAATCCTTTCTATATCTGTCTTGAATGCTTTGTAATCATTTAGAAGAAACGTATGTAACTGTCACACAGGACCCTTGGGCAATTCTGTTAGGAAGTGGGTTTGAGCTAGAGAGCTGTGGATTTAATGCACATTGCAGGCTGAAGTTTGTGTGTACAGTGTTCAGAGAGGGAGAGAACAGCCCACCTGCTGTTATTTAGTGCCTAGAGACCCTCCTCACAGGGCAGTAAAACTGTTTCCAGAAGCATCAAAGTTTAATGTGGCTAAGGTCTATTCTGAGACAAGCAACACATGGTTTTTAAGGCACTTGAAAGAAAGTCAATACCAAGGATTTTAAACACAAGGCCTTTAAGATCGTCATGTATCAGATGATTAGCTGTGCTTTCTGAGATTTTTAGTCAACCTTGCTGTTGTTCTACTGTTTTCAAAATAGTAGAGTCATTTCTGTTAGACAGTACTTTTTGAGCTTTAAAAGTCAGAAAAAATTAATATACTTGAGTTGTAGTTTAAATTATATTTATAAAATAGTATACCAGACTTGCAGAAATATCCTTTATTGCCAATAAAGAAGAAATTGAATATTTGTTAATAAATTGACTTTATGTCAAAAGTCAAATAGAACCCAGAGACATGGCAACAGTAGTGAAATGATTTAAAGTCATAAATATGTTCAGTTAATATTATAATATGTCATATTTTGATAAATAATATTTTAGCTTAAAAATGAGTAATATATTGTATTCGTTATATTTTGTCAAATGCTACTGTTGAACAGTTTGTTTTCAGTAAGATTTTTATTAGATGTTAATATTTTTTTCTGTAAGGACACATTAGTTTGATTCTTTAACTTAATTTTTTATGTTTCTAAATATTTCTACTTCAAATAAATGATGCTCTTTTGAACTTTATGTTAATTAATGTATACTGAAAAAAATTATCACAGCTTCCACAAAAATATTAAGCAGCACACCTGTTTTAGCATTGATGATGATGATAATAAGAAATGTTTTTTGAGCACCAAATCAGCATATTAGAATGATTTCTTAAGGATCACGTTACACTGAAGACTGGAGTAATAATGCTGAAAATTCAGCTTTACCATAACAGAAATACATTACATTTTTAAATATATTAAAGGGGTCCTATTACGCTTTTTCACTTTTTGAATTTTAGTCAGTGTGTAGTGTGTATGTTTGGGCATAAAAAAGATCTACAAAGTTACAAATCTCAAAGTCCACTCCAAAGGGAGATATTTCATTTTTTTAAAAATCCCTTTTCAAAAACTACAACGAACGGCTTGTTTGGACTACAGCGTTGTTTTCAGGGGTATTGTGATGTCACAAAGTGGCCCATTAGAATATCATTAAAATAATTCCCGCCTACGGAAATTCGAATGGTTGGGGGGTGGGGAGGGGCGAGGTCGTGGTTAGAACGCTTGGTTGAGTGCATCAGACAAGACGATGATGAGGATGAAGTGCTGCTGCAAAGTTAGTGCACCAGAGAAAACGATGAAGAAGAAGAGCTGCTGTAGCATCAAGTTTACGCCATGTCGAAGAAATGCTGTTTTTTTCATAAATTGCTGACAGTACAATACCGGACAATGATGTAATATGCAGAATTTACACTTCAATTATGAGACTATGATATAAATAAATTAAACTGTTTAACAGTTTCACTGCAAATCATGTTATAATGTTAGAATTAAAGAACAATAAACATAATACATATTACCGTTGCACTTATCTGTACATAGTAAATTCTCGGGGTCTGAATCCGGCTCAAATTGATCTGGCAATATTGATGCCATCCTTAACTATACCGGAGCAGATGGAACTTGCTGCTTTGGCAAGGGGCGTGGCAGTACTGAAACACCGTCTAAGCTGTTCGCCAATCACAACGCAATGGGACAGCTAAGCAATCACAACACATTTCGTTTTTCGGAAGGCGGACCTTCATCAGACCCGGAACTAATCGAGCCATTTGTGCCAGGCTGGAGAGAAAGGTATTTTAATAATGTAAATTATATGAAAAATAATTAATTTTTCGAACCACCAAGCATGAGAGCATGTTGTAGTACACCCCCAAAACAAAACCAAGACTTTGTAAAAGAGCATAATAGGACCCATTTAAGATAGAAAACAGTTATTTAAACTTGTAATATTTCATGATATTGCTTGTATTTTTGTTCAAATAAACGCAGTCTCGGTGAGCATAAGAGATCTTTCAAAAACATTAAAAAAACATACTGACCTTTTTGAATGTTGCTGTATAAAATGGGGACATGAAAATGTACTTCATCACATGAATGACACAGTAAATGTTACGTGATTTTTTTCCTATTACACCCTGTGAAGAGTGCTTGTATCTCCCTTATTAAATTTGACTTGTTTTGCCAAAAGGTTTAGAATATCTCATAATTCTCTTCAATCCATTCAGCCCGGTTGAGCTACTGTATAGTGGCACCAGGAGAGCCTGTCACGAGTGAATTCACCAATGTAATAGAACTTTGCTGGTGTCCTTTATTCCTTCTTTCACTTTTTTTTCTCTCCAGTCTTTCCCTCACTGATGTACCAGCAAATGTCATTGCCCAGGGAGGCATTTGAAATTAAACAGGTAGAAAAAGAAAATCTCTATCAAACCGTTTGTATTCAGTTCTTGTTTCGCTGTACCACAGGTTCAAATAGGAGACAGAGTTTCGGCTTTGCTTTCATGTTTACTTGATGATAGGTTCACAGCAGTAACTGTTTATCTCTGCCTGTCGTTTCTCAGGACGGCAGCCTCTTTTAAACTTTTTGAAAGATGCTTGGATTTAAATGCATGAAACAAAAATATGTCCACCCTTTTTGTTTCCATCAAATTTAACAGATGTGTCCTTAATTCTCAGTGGACCATGATGTTGTCGTCTCAGGGTGTATCTTTCAGCAGACACTTTAAACTAAAGGTCTTGCAGTTGGATAGTTGCAGTCACAGTACCACTTTTTTACGCCCGGCCTCTTTCAACCAAAATAATTTTTTGTGGAAATGCCATAAAAATGCACCCATAATAAAGCATGCTAAATTACACTGAACTAAATTGAATGTGAAGGGTCTTGTAGCTCTGCGAACTTTACTTTGCTCTCTAGGC